CCTTGATGGTCCCAGGGACCTCTGCTCCTAGGCTGAAGAGTTAACCACTCCCCTCCTTGCTACAAAACGTCTACCTTTACATTTCCAACCCTCACAATCACTCCTGATAACAATTATTCACTATTGTATCACAAGAGACCTATCTGCATTTCCTTTCATCAGCCCCACCCAGACATTGGATACTACTCAGTGGAGATTCTACCTTCCTCCAGGCCCTCTGAATCTAGGTTCCCTCTTGAAAGTTTGTAAGCCAGTCACTTCTTGCCTTTCTAGCCCCCTCATTTTGGGTAGCCAATGTTCAAGTTGCCCATCCCTGTCTACTCTGTGTATGGAAGGCAAATACTGCTCTTTTGATCTGTATAGTTGGTTGTTCTAAGCAGTGTCTGTCTTTTGTTTGGCTGAAAGTTAAAAGTCATGGGGGTGAATTGGTGAGTTCAGTTCCAGGCCTGAAGGACGTCCAAGGGCCATAGCCTCGGGGGTTCTACTAGTCTCTATCAGACCAGTTGTTGTTGTTAAGTACTGTAGAGTTGGTTCTGACTCATAGTGACCCTGTATAGGGTTTTCGAGGAGCCGCTGGTGGGTTTGAACCTCTGACCTTGCAGTAATCAGTCCAGGACTCCTTCAGACCAGTAATCTTGGTCTTTTTATGATTTTGAGTTTTGTTCCACATTTTCCTCCCACACTATCTAGAACCTCCTGCTGAAATCCCTTTCAAAGCAGTTGGCAGTCAAAGCAGGCAGCGGCCAATTCTAGTCTCAGGGTTTTAGAGGCGTTAGTCCTTTGCATGTTTCCTTTGATTTGCTTCACTTCCACTCTAGACAGGAATGAACAACATTGTTTGCAGGTTCATGCACTTTGTAGTTCATCCACTGAAGCATATATCAGCTGTTGTTGTTGTTGTTAAGTGCCGTCAAGTCGATTCCGACCCATAGCAACCTTGCATAGGGTTTCCACGGAGCAGCTGGTGAGCTTGAACCGCCGACCTTGCACTTCAAACCGCATTGCAGTCTGGTGCATTACCCCACAGCGCCACACCAGGACTTTGTTTCTTTTTGGGACTGAGCACTATTCCCTGGTGTGTCATTGTAGGATCAGCACTGGACTGCTAACCCCAGGGTTGGCAGTTCAAACCCACCAGCCGCTCCTTGTAAACCCTATACAGGGTCGCTCTGAGTCAGAACTGACTTGACAGCACTTAACAACAACACTATTCCCTTCGTTAGATGGACCACATTGTGTTTATCTGTTCATATCCATGTTCCAAACATGCAAATACACCAGGAGGGTAAATTCCCAGAACTGGATCTTGAGCACATGAGCTCATATTTCCGGTGGCCTCTGCCAAGGGGAACGCCCCATTGGGGCTACATCTCAAGCTACTCCCAGCAATGGGGGTGCCTCTTTCCCCTCAGTGTGGTCACACGCTTGAGGTTTTCCAAATCTGATTGGTAAAAACAAGCAAAATCTGAGTTTGTGACTGGCAGATTTCTGTTAGAGTGAGGTGGAACATCTCTCAGTGGATTGAAGAGAATTTGAAGCTTTTCTGCAAAGCCTCAGCTCATCCCTGACCCAACCCGCTCCCCCTGCCCACCCCCCCACCCCCTTACGTTTAGAGAAGAAGGAGGAAGCTGAGGACAGGAAGATTAGGGGAGACTGGTTTCCCAGCATTCTAGTTTCCAGGGAAAGATTTAGCATTTATTCCACTTTACTGATGTGGAAACTGAGTCACAGAGAGGTTAAGGTCACACAGCAGGTCAAAGCTGGGATGAATTTTCATCTGGTCTGCCAGATGCCAGGTTCCCTGTTAGTTCCTGAGCCCCCTCTTCATGTATTCCTATGCACAATCCCTCCTCAACCTAATTTATGTCATTCTCTTCTGGGTCTGACTCAGATCTGGTGTCTTCCTCCAGTTTCTGATCTCCAGACACCCAGGCAAATCCTAGAAGGTTCTTTCTTTCCAATACAGTGCCCTTCCCTGCTCACATACCTGCCTTGGCTCCCCACTAAATTGGAATAAGGCCCCAATTCTCAGTTTTCTCCTCTCCAGCCATGCCTAACCATAACCATTTGGTTATGCTTTGCCAAGCCACACTGGTCTTTGCTCCTGATGTGCCTTCTGCCTGGAATCTGCAATGTATTCATATCTGTCTGGCCACTGCGACTCATCCTCTAAGCCTCAGACTCAATGTGCTCTCCTCCAAAGGGTTCTTCTTATATCTGCTCCAGCAGAGAGGCATCATTGTACAAGTGTGTGAGCATCAAGTTTTTCAAGGAAGCCAAGCAATCCGCCTTTCCACTCCACCTTGGAAATTTGTCAATCCCTGGAAAGCTCCTACCCATACATTGAAGCCCCAACTCTAATGCCCCCTCTTCCAGAAAGTGTTTCCAGGACTGGTTACTTGTGTCGTGTCTGTGTCCTGCTCTGTCCACACTTGACTGGGGACTCCTTGATAGTGTGGCAGGGCCCCACATTGACATTCTTTGTAGAATAAATAATTAAGGACATGGATTGGGAGTAAACTGCGTTGGGATCAGGAAGTCAGTCATTTGGGGTGCTAATGGGGGCTTGTAATCGCTCCTTTCCAGCAAGAGGGAAGCAGGACCCTGGGCTGCCCCTCCCCCTCCCGTGAGAACCTTGGGCCTAGAGGCCTTGCTGAGGGCGGGTCTCTTGTGTCTTTATTCTTCCCCTCAGTGCTCAGCCCAGAAACCAGTTCCTCTTCCCTCCAAGTCTCGGGGTGCAGAGCCTGAGAGGAGTGCTAGGGACCACCACGGATCCGAGGAGGAAGCCGGACAGCCTCCACATCCAGGTGAGAGCTCTCCTGAATCGTGAAAATGAGACTGGCAGGTGGAACAGAGGCGCTAGAACTCCATCTGTGCAGGATCCGGAAACGAGATCAGGGGCCCTTTCAGCAGACCCTACCTCATCCATCCCAGGACTCTAGGCAGTTCTGGAAGAAACAATTTGCAGGTCTTGAGGAGGCTGTTTCCAGGGCAACCACTCATTTGCATATGGCCCCCGCTTTGCCCAATGTGTAGGGGAAATGGACAAACCCCCCCCATAGGAAATGGGGAAAGAGCTGCCTTGGACCTGGCGCTGGGGAGTGGGGTGGGGCGGGGCGTTAAGTATCCATCCCTCTAAGGAGAGATGGAGGCTTAGAGGACCCTGCGCCAACCAGTGAAAGCGTTACCATTTCAGAGGCGGTCTGACTTAGTCTCAGCTGTAAAAAAAAAATAAAATAAAATAAACACAGGCCGTGGTGGTGAGGGTGACCACAAGGTTGAGGTTGAACTTAGTTTCCTGTGTTTCTTCTTAGGTTGCTTGAATGGAGGAAGCCCTGGTGTGGACGCTGTTGTCGCTGCTGCTACCGCACGATGCAGGTACCCAAGAATATTCGTGCCCCGAGCCCTTGAAGAATGTGAACTGGACCATGGAGTTTCCAGACAAGTGCCTGAACTTCAGTAACCAGGACCTGGTCCTGCCCCAGAACCAGTCCCTACAGGCCAGCAATGTGGTCCTCTTGGATCTGTCGGCAAACAACCTGAGAGAGTTACCGCCGCTGTTCTTTAAGAACCTGAATACACTGAAGATCCTGAGTGTCATGGGCAACCCACTGGACCACATCGATGGGACGCTGGCCCAACGCTGTGACTTGGAACTGAAGGCTGATTGCGGCTGTGGCCTGGCAGCGTGGCATGAAGTCTGGCGTGACAACTGCTCTGACCAGCTGCCCCTGAAATGCCTGGACATGACCATGGGCACCTGGCGCAACCTCTCAGCCTTCCTGGAGGGCAGTTGTGCCCCTGGTCTGGCCCTAAGCACCATCGGGGCATTGGCAGCTGGTGGATGCTTGCTCCTCGGGATAGTCATTGCTGGTCCTATACTGGCCTGGAGGCTTTGCAAGCGCCAGGCGGCCAATAGCCATAGCCTGGGAAAATCCCAGGCTTCCAAAGAAGATCCCAGGCCTAACTCAGTCCGGCAACCACGGTATAGCAGTCGGGCCTTTCACCCCAAGTCTCCAGTGGTTGCCTTGCCCAACCCCCACACTCCCCACTATGAGAACATGTTCCTAGGTCAACCAGCTGCTGGGTCCAGCTTCCAGGAGTTCCACTGTGACAGACAAGGGTAAGTGTCCCCACACTTCTACATTCAGTGAGGCAAAAGCAGACACAAAAACTAAAACTTGACTCATAGTCCTGCTTATCCCTACAATGATGTTTGTGTTTCAAATATTTCATACTAAAGTGTGAGTGACTAATAGATGCCGCTTATCTAAAGTGACATTTTACAAACAGAGCTCACAGGGTGTGGTGTGGGGTTGGGGTATCCTGGAGGCATCCTCCTAGGGTGGTTAAGAACTAAGACTAGATGGTCAGGGTTCAAATGCCCACTCTGCATCTTGTAGCCTGTGTGATCTTGGGCCAGTAGCTTTAGCTCTCTGGGCTCAGTTTCCTCATCTGTAAAATGGGGATAACAACAGTTCCTGCCTCATGGTGTTGGAGGTAAGAATGAAATGAGTTCTTGTATATAGGACAAGTTTCTGCCTTCATGATCCACAAACTCTGTTCTAATTGCTAAGGATGGGGTGGAATGGGGTGAAGGAGGCAGGTGCTTCAGGACTCTATGGTCAGCAGTTGACCAGTCTGGTCTCAAGCTCAGAGCTATCTTTGAAATTGTTTAATGCCTCCAGCAAATGGATAGAGCATCCTTATTCTCCTTAACGCACAAGAGATACCAAAGAAATTATCTGTGTCCCTCTTTCCACCATAATGCTATGACATTTCTAGGTATTTTGCTTTTTGTTACATGCCATTCAGTTGATTCTGACACATAGCGACCCTGTATAGAGTTTCCAAGGAGTGGCTAGTGAGCTTGAACCGCCACCCTTGCTGTTAAAACTGACTTTGCAGTCTGGCACATTAACCCACAGTGCTACGCCAGGACTCCAGTCTAGGTGTTTGGCTATACTTAAAAAGATGATTTCAACTTTTCCTGGTTGGAACAGGGACTGGAGGGATTTCAGGCATGAGGATCAGCAGGGGCAAAGTCATGGAGGTGCGAGATAGCAAAGAATCTGATGTGAATGGCTAGAAAAGAAACAGGAGAGCTTATACTAAAATGTGAGTGACCAGTAGGCACCACTTACACAGAGCAATTTTTAACAAGTGGAGTCAATAAGATGCCCTTGACACACAGAAGATACCAACAAAGTTATCTGTGCACCTCTTCCCCACAAAGTCCCAATATCGCTGGATGATATTCCTGGGCTTGGGAGAAGTTCAGTTTTTTCTGATTGGATCAGGGAGTAGAAAGAGTTTCAGGTTTTGGGGCCACCAACAGGGGCAAAGACCAGGAGGTGGGAAAGGACGAGGGGGCTGGAAGCATCCAAGAAAGAAGAGAACTAGGGCATGGCTGTGTTTGGGCAACAGAGTCCACATTAGGAGGCAGGGAGGCCAGTAAAGGCTGTTGAAGGAAAAAGAAAGTATATGCAAAGCAGATGCAAATATGGATTGAAAGCAGAAGTGGTTTGTAGTGGTGGATTGAAATGACTGTGTTCATTAAGGCAGCAGTTTATGTCTCAGCTGGTCTCTCACAAAGCTTCAAGGCCAGCCTCCCTCATATTCCCAGCCTTTAAAATCACTCTGCTTAAAATGAGAGGTATCATTTTCATCCTGTATTCTACAGTTGTGACAACAGAGGCCTGGAGAATTAGGGGAATGACTTGCCCAATATCACACACTGAGGTAAAAGCAGAGACAAGAAATAAACCCTGACTTCCAGTCCTGCCTGTCCCCCAATGGCTTTTTGTGTTTGGAGTAATTCACACTAAAGTGTGAGTGGCTGGTAGACTTCACTTACCCAAAGTGGATTTTACTAGCAGAGTCACTGCATGTGGAGTGGGATTAGGATACTCAGGAAGCTGGAAGGTTTTTCTCTGGAGCTTTACTTGGCTTAGCTAGACAATCTTAAGAAGGTACCCCCCTTCCTGACCAGTTCTATGGATGCAGAAACTGGAGGGTCAGAGAGACAAAACCACTTCCCCAGGTCACAGCCTGGTGCTATTTGCAGTCACTCTCATTTTAATAATTGCTAACATGTTTATTTTTATATCAGAGTCACAAAGTTAATTGCTTCAAGTTACCTATGATTACATTTACCATCTAAAGGGACAGCCAATGTTTGGTTTTGGTCACTTGTGTCCATGTAGATGGTATGGGCAGAGCTTTTAATTTTCCAAGTGGAAAGCAAAGCCTAGATTTTAGTGTTTTTTTTTTTTTTTTTAATAAGGCAAATATTTTAACTTAAAGAAAGGAAAAATAATCTCTGATGGTTCTTGAACTTCAGTATTCCAATGCTGGTTCCACAAAATCATCAATGACACCCCTCTTCCTTGGAGTTTCCTCCTTGGTAACTATTAGGGGATGTGGACTCAGCTGCCTTGAACTTTCTTGGCCTCTCCAAGCTGATTTTCCTGCCCTCCCTGAATCACCCTCTCCATCTGTCTGTCCCCACAGGGGTCACTCTCCAGATAATGACTTCTACATGAACTATGAGGGCGTCAGCCAGCCCTCCCAGCCCATCTATGGCAACCTGACATCGCTGGGAGAGGCCTCTCTGGACGAAGAGGACTATGTGGTCCCCGGATGCTGAGCCTGTGACCTCTGGATCTTCCTTCCTGCTCCTCCTGGTCCCGGTCAGGTGACTCAGAGAGTTCCAGCCCTTCTCTGGTCTTAGGCTCCTCATCTGAGGATTGGGGACATGGAAGGACTGTCTTAGAACCCCAGAGAGACTATGCATCCCCCTTCCCAGGCCCTACTCTGCTCCTTGGCCCTCTTGGCTACTAGGTCAGAAGGGGGAGACCCCAGTGAGGGGACTGGAGAATTGATGTGTGAACCTAGTTGTCACCCTCTTGTCTGAGAGCAGATGACACTCAATAAACACTGTGGGATCAATAAGAATGCTGGCTCATGGAGAATGGGATTTCTCCAGGTGTGTGTGTGTGTGTGTGTGTATGTGGGATTTCCTGAGCTCCCTTCTCCTGTATCTTCGCTCTGCCGCCTCTCCAGGAATCCTTGTTGAGTTGATTCCAATTCATAATGAGCGACCCTAGAGGGCAGAGCAGCACTGCCTTCAAAGTCTTCCTGAGCTGTAACCCTCACAGGAGCAGACTGTACGCCTTTTTCTTCCATGGAGCTGTTCGGTGGGGGAGTCAAACCACTGACCTTTCAGTTAGCAGCTGAGTGCTAACTTCCAGGAATCCTTACAACCTAGGAATCAGCTGTCTCTCCCCTGCTCACATACCCTCCATAGCTTCCCATTGCTCCAGACCCTCACCTTGGGACTTGAGGCTGTCCTAATCCAGCCCTGCTTGCCACACCCCCAACCCCCATTCCTCTGCCTTAAGGCTGGAGCTTTCCCAAGCCAGCCCACCTCCTTCCTGACATTTCCTTTCCCCAAGCCATTCCTTTTACCAGAATACAGTCCTCTCTTAAACCAAATGCAGACTCTGGTCTGGGCATCAGGAGACATGGGTTCAAGTTCTGATTCTGCCAGTAACTCTCTGGACCTCGGTTTTCCCATCTGTGAAACAGGGTGATTAGAGATGGTCTCTAAGGTCACGATAGCAATAATATTTTGAGAAACCTCACCTTGTCCTTTAAGGGCCAGGTGCCTCCTCTGAGAAGCCAATCCTGATTCCTCCCCAGCCAGATTTTGTCACTTCCAGAGTTTGGGTGGAAGATAAGCACTGGGCTGCTAACCACAAGGTCGGGCATTTCTAACCTACCAGCCACTCCTTGGAAACCCTCTATTGGGTTGCTATGAGCCAGAAGTGACTAGATAGTACACAAGAAGAAGAGTTTGTGTATTTCAGAGTTTGTTCAAACTCGGGCTTCAACTGAATTCCTCCTTGTCAGCTGGTCCCAAGTCTGATGCCCACAGCGCTCCATATTTGGGGGAGACAAAAATTGATCCAGAGGCTCTTAAGAGGTTAAAGCTGGGCTGGAGGGAGGTTCCCCACAGGTGGTGGACTGAATAAACTTGAGAAAGGCTTTGTGAGAAAGGAATCTGTAGTTATGTTTTTGTGTGTTTGGGGGAGTACGGAGTGGGGTTAGGGTTAGGACTATGGCTAGGTCTAGGCTAGGTCTGTTGTTGATAAGTGTTGTCAAGTCTGTTCAGACTCATAGTGACTCTGTAGTGTTGCCAAGGAGCAGCTGGTTCAAAGCGATCTTGTGGCCCAGTGCTTTATCCCACAATGCCACACCAAGACTCCAGGCTAAGTCTGTTGTTATTGTTAGGTGCCGTCGAGTCAGTTCTGACCCATAGTGACCCTGTATAGGGTTTCCGAGGAGCAGCTGGTGAACTTAAACCTCCAACCTTGCAGTTCAAACAGCTTTTCAGTCTGGCGCATTAACCCACAGTGCAAGCTAGATTTTGTTGTTGTTGTTGTTGTTGTTAGGTGCCATCAAGTAGATACCGGACTCATAGCGACCTTATGTACAACAGAATGAAACACTGCCCGATCCTGGGTCAACCTCACAATCGTTGCCATGCTTGATCCCATTGATGCTGCCACTTTGCCAATCCATCTCACTGGGGGTTTTCCTCTTTTTCTCTGACCCTCCACCTTACCAAACATGATATCTTTCTCCAGTGCTGGTCCCTCCTGACACCATGTCCGAAATATGAGAGATGAAGTTTGGCCATCCTAGCCTCCAAGGAGCACTCTGGCTGCACTTCTTCCAACACAGATCTGTTGGTTCTTTTGGCAGCCCATGGCACTTGCAATATTCTCCTCCAACACCATAACTCAAAGGCATCAATTCTTCTACAGTCTTCCTTATTCACCATTCACCTTTCACATGCATATGAGGTAATTGAAAATACCATGGCTTGGGTCAGGCACACCTTAGTCCTCAAGCTGACATCTTTGCTCTTCAACACTTTAAAAAGGTCTTGTGCAGCAGATTTGCCTAATGCAATACGTAGTTTGATTTCTTGACTGCTGCTTCCGTGAGTGTTGTAGTTGATTCAAGAAGAATGAAGTCCTTCAATCTTGAGATTGAAGTTGTCAATCTAGGTCTTTAATGTTAAGGTTATGGTTAGGACAAGGGGTGGTGTTAGGGGTAGGGGCTGGGCCAGGGCTAGGAGTAAGTCTTGGTCTAGTTTTTAGGGTTATAGTGAAGTTTACGTTTTATTTTCTTGAAATCTATTTGATTTCCTCTTCATTTGGATGTTATATAACTATATTATTCTCTCTTTTTACCTTAGGTTTTTATTTTGTTGCAACTGTATGTCTGGTTCTCTATTTTCAGTCTTGTAAAGTCTGTTCCTTGGAAATCCTATACAGGGTTGCTATGCGTCGGAACAGACTGGATGGCACTTAACAACAAGAAGTCTGTTTTACTTTGAATACTTTGATATTTGGGTTGAGTTCTGGGAGATATTGTCATATGTGTTAGCCTCAGGTTTGCTGTTGTTGGTTCTCGGCCCAAAGACCTCCCTTTAGGATTTTCTGTTAGGCTGACCTGGTTTTTTACAAAACTGTTTAATCTCGGTTTATCTGAAAATGACCTAATTTCATTGTCATATTGGATGGAGAATTTTGCTGAGTATGTGATTCTTGACTGGCAATTTTTTTCTTTCAGAGTTTTATTCCATTGTCTTTTTCTACTGAGAAATCAAGAGTTTAGTCTTATTGGTTCTCCTTTGTAACTTTGTGTTTTTCCTGAGCTGCTCTCAGGATTCTTTCCATGCCTTTGGGTTTGAAAAGTTTGATTATAATATATATGTCTTGGTGTTTTTCTTTCGAGGTTTTTCTTGTTTGTTCAACTTTTCAAATGTCTGTCTTCTTGTCTTTCATGATGCTAAGGAAGTTTTGTTCCAACAACTTTTAGACAACATTCTCTACGGGTTTTGTTTTTTTTCTTCCTGTTCTACAATTCCAGTTATATGTAAGTTATTCCTCATGATAGTGTTCTACATAAATCTGAAGTTTTCTTCAGTTTTTTTTTTCTTTTTTTTTTTCTGATTGTTTCCCTTGTTGTTGTTAAATGCCATTGAGTCAGTTCTGACACATAGAGACCCTGTATAATGTTTCCGAGGAGCAACTGATAGTTTGTTCGTCTAGTACAGGGGTGGGGAACGTCCAGCCCAGGAGCTGGATAGGCTCCCGAGATCATTTGGTCTGGCCCTGCCAAGGTAACTGCAGTTCCAGTCATTACATTAGGGTGAGTTAGTTAAATGTTTGACCAAAAATAGCAGGTTAATTTTTAAATTAAAAACTTTGTATGGCCCACAAATGATGCTATAAATATCCAAATGACCCTTGGGAGAAAAAAGCTTCCCCACCCCTGCTCTAGCAGATGAATATTGGGAGATTTGTCTTCAGACTCAGTAATTTGGCCTTCATTGATCCAATTCTACATCTTTGCCCATTCAGTGTATTATCTATTTCTGCAGTTCAAGTACTAATCTAGCTGCTATTTTTGTATAATTTCCTTTTTTTTTTTTCCCCATTTATTTTGTCAGTTTGTTTCCCAAAATCTTCTATAGTTTGTCTATGTTTTCCTGGATTTAATCTACAGTTTTCTTGATCATTGTCTTAATCTGTTGAACGTGCCTGAACAACATACTTTTAAGTTCTTTATCAAGTAGTTCCAATACCATTTCCGGAGTTTTGTTTTCTGACTCTGTATTTTGGTTATTTGTTCAAGGCACTCTGTCCTGTTTCTGTGTGTAAGCTGAAATCGTCTGTCTTCTCTGAGACGTTGTGGTATAATATTTATATTTGATTGACAATTATATATAGATTGGTGTGTTCTCAGACACTCACCACCTGTCTCCTGGTGGATGTGGTAAAGACTGGAAGTGTTTAGTGTAGTTTAACTCAGGCTAGGTTCACACACTTCCAGAAGCAGGGGCGTTATGCCTGGTGTCTTATCCCAGGCCGAGCAGAGGCTGCTCAGGAGGGACAGCCACTGGTCACAGCCCTGGCTACCAGGAGGGCACAGGAACAAGGGAGAACTGTACCCACTTGCTGCCAACCTCCAGCTTCATCCTGTGCCTGCAGGCCACTGTATCGATTTTTGTTGTTGTTAAGTGCCGTTGAGTCGGTTCCAACTGATAGCGACCCTGTATAGGGTTTCTGAGAAATGACTGGTAGTTTGAACCACTGACCTTGAGGTCGAGTGCTTATTCTATGGGCCACACCAGGACTTTACCGATTGTTGTTGTGGCTATGAAGTGTCATTGAGTCGGTTCCGACCCATAGCAACCCTGTATAGGGTTTCTGAGGAGCAGCTGGTAAGTTTGAACCGCTGACCTTGCAGTTCAAATGGCTTTGCAATCTGGCGCATGAGCCCACAGCGCCACACCAGGAGTCCAGGACTGTATCAATAACTGCTTGCAAAAACTCAAGATGGCTCCAGGCCAGCCTACAGTAAGCTAAATTTTCTTCCCTCTTGTTACTCCTATTCTACTTCTTCCAGTTGGCAATCCACCTCTCTTTCCTAGCTTCTGATTCTCAGGGCTCCAGATCACCATTTGTATCTGTTTTACTTGGTCTCCCACGTCTTTGTTGTAGAGGGTCTTCTCGGTGCATTTGTCTACTCTGCTATTTTCACCTGGAAGTCCTATCGTGGGTTTTGAAGGATGAATAGGAGTTTGAAAAACTGAGAGAAAAATGGAATAGTGAGTAGGGACACCAGTGCCTGCAACAGCCTAGAGATGTGAGAAGGTACATGTTCAGGACATGCCCAGTAAAGGTAGAGGGTGTTCCAGGGAAGATTCATTGAAGCATCTGCTGGCTTTTGTGTGATCCTGATTTGAGTTTAATGTTGGGCCCCCTTGGGGTTGATGTGATGCACTAGTGGGAGAAAGACTTATAAAGGGGGCTTTCACATTCATTCCAGCTCAGTGACCTACCCCGGCCCTACCTCAGCCTCACTCTTTCCACCGACTACCCCTCCATCTGCCAGTCTAAGTCAGATCTTGTCCCTCCTTAGCTCACATGCCCTCCATGGCTCCCATTGATTGACATTAGTCTCCACAGTCCTTACTGTCATCCATGACACCAGGTGTGTTCTGGCCTCTGTAGACCTCTATGACCCCATTTTGCCACTGGACACTTAGCTTAATCTACCCTCATGGCCTCTGCACCTGAGTTCTTGTTACTGTTGTATCCTGAATACCCACCCAAGGCCTGGCATGCAGTGGCTTCTTAGTTGGGGGTTCCTGCAGTCATTTAAGTGGTCTCTGGGCAGTGGCTTTCATTCACAGTGGACACCTGTGACAGCTGAAAATGAGTCTTCTGACTCTTCAGCCTCCAAGGGTAGACAGGAAGGTGAGTGTGGGGAGGACAGTAGGCTTAGCACATCTCAGGAATTTCTGTATCCTTAATGAGAAGAGAAACACTGTGTGTATGAAAATACTCTTCACAGCTATTTTCCCCTGCTCTTTCTTAGAGAAAGGTTAGAGGAAAGGTTCGTGTGGAAGATGGGGGATACCTCTCTCAATCTGGGGATCGGGGGCAGCATTACACGAGAATGGACAGAAGACTTGATTGTGGATAGACTTGGTGGGGGGGCGGGGGGGGCTGTCTGTGTTTGCAAAACGACTCTAATGTGGGGAGCAAGAGATGGGGTCAGACTATCCCCGAGACAGGAATTGGAGAGACAGTGGGAGACTAAGATCCAGTGACAGGAGCAGTAGCTGAGAAATGGCCATGGGGAGACAAAGAGTGACAGGGTTGTATGGGGTTGTCCTTGCTACCCTAGGCCTAACTAGCACCTTCCTGTCATCAGCTGGCATTGCCAAGAACATCGTCTGCTCCAATGGACCCATCCTCAAGTCCTCCTACTCAACCTATGCAAGGTCTGTTGGAGAAACCGAGGCATGGGAGGGACCAATCCTTCCCTAGTTTCTCATCCCCTTTGTGTATACCACAGGGACAATTCAGACAGCGTCATTTTTATTACCGGAGTTATAAATACATACACGTCCCTACCAACAAACAGCCCTCTCCACCCACCAGTCCCCAGCTAATCGCCCCAATAAATTAGCAATAATAATAATAATAATAGTAAAAAAGGTCATCGTGGAGTCAATTTGTACTCATTGTGCGTGACCCTATAGCATAGAATAGGGCTACCCCATTGAGTTTCGAAGGCAACGTTTACAGAAATCTTTACTGATACAGACTCCCACAACATTGTGCCGCAGAACATCTGGTGGCTTAGAACCTCCAAGCACTTAACCAGTGCATCACTAGGGCTCCTTTTGCAATGTTTTGTTAAGTGCCGTGCAGTCAGTTCCAACTCATAGTTTCCGAGGCGGGAGCAGAAAGCCGCAACATTTTCCTGTGGAGAGGCTGATGGACTCGAACTGCCAACCTTAAGGTTCGCAGTCCAATGCTTATCCTACAGAGTTACCACGTTCTCTTAGCAATAAATACAGATTCATAAATACAGCGTTATGGGGGGCAAGGAGAGTAGAGGGACACATCATTGGGTACTGAGCAGCCTCCGCGGGCCCACTGTGAGGATTTGAACCACTGAGGCCCTAAGCCTCCATCTTCCAGGGCGCCCACTCAAGCACAGTGGCAGTCCTTGACCAGGAGGTCGTCGTATGGGGTGAGCGTCAGGCGGCCCTCGCTATCGCGGTGCATTAGCACCACCGGCTCAAAGCTAGAGGGCACGCAGCAAGGCGCAGGCGCGGAACCTGGGTCCAGGTCGTGTAGGCGAGACTTGATACGCGTGTACGCGCTAGCTGTCCGGAAGCGCGGCGGGCACGCGCCGACGCATGCGCGCACGTCCAGTTCACGCGGCGCCAGCACCCAGTCGGCCCAGCCGAGCTCCTCGAGTGTCACGCGCCGGCTCTGTACCGCGCAGCAGTGCGCCGCCCCAGTTGCGCAATCCTCTGCCGTAGGTACATGAGTACTGCGGCGCCCCCTGGCGGCGCGAGGTCGCAGGTGCAACTCCAGCCGCGCCAAAGAGGGTGCCGTCAGCGCGGAGTTGGACTGCAGCGGCGACAGCGGCAGATGCAGGACCGGTGGCGCGAGGCCCCCACGGGCAAGCAGGCGCTGTAGTGGCCGTGTCACATCAAGTGGGCTCGCCGTCGGGGACAGCTGGAGTAGGGCCCGGTGCAGACGGGAGATGGCTGGGCGCCCCAAAGAGAACGAGGCTCTGGGAATGCGCAGGTGCATGTGGCCTCGGGGACCTGGCAGCACTGTGGGGAGAGAGAAACCTGGTCACAGCGGCCTGGCTGGGTTCAGGACGCATTCCACCTCAGGGCCTTTGCACAAGCTGTTCCCACCACCGGAAATTCTCTCCCCCTATCCCTTTCCACCATGGCTGCCTGCTCCCTCCTCCTTCCAGCCCTTCAGAATTCAGCTGCTCCTTATTTTTTCTCTTCGTGGATCTTTCTTCTCTCTGCTTAGAATTTAAGCAGCGATTTCTGTCTGCATTGTCACTGGTGCCTGGCACACAGTACAAGTTTGAATGAATACACGGTGGAGACTGTGATTCAAATACTGGCTTGGGTCTTCTAACAATTTATTGAAGGCCTACTAAGTGCCCAGGGCTGGAGATACAGCAATCAGTTACTGTGACCAGGAACATTTTGTCAACGCTGGTTGGCTCCTCCCCCGCCCCCTCTAATTTCAGAAACGAGGGGTATCAGACCTCCCAGCGCCCTTATAGCCCAGATTTCTTGGCCCTCCAAGCTCCTCAGACCCCCGTGTTGGTATATGTCTAGGGGTTGCTGGGAGGCTGTGGTTTGAGGACCTTGCCCCTTTCAGCGCGAGCAGTTTACCTGGAGTTACACTACACAGTTGGGATTATGTGGCTTGGGGCGGGATTCAAGCGCGCTCCAGAGCCAGCCCCCCTCTATCTACTCTTCCAGACTCCAGCGCAACTCCTCCCCCTGCTCTCCGCACAGAGCGGAGATGAGAAACTCCCTGCAGGCACATGTTCCGCGGAGAGTCTTCCGCACAGTTGGGCGTGATTGCATCAGATTCGAAACCAGCCCAGAGCAGGTGCTTCATGTGCCTGACCTGGTTCTTTGTTTGATATAGCCCCTCTTCCCTTCCACCTCCCAGCCCATCCTAGAGCAGGGGCTTTGCCCCCACGCTCCCTGGTCCCTAGGTTCTGCAGGTGCTCTCACCTTTGGGAGAGTTGTCTGGACCACAGTTTCCCCATCTCCAATCTGAGAATGGTTATAACGGCCTACATTGACTGATTCCGGCCCTATCTGGCAGCGAGGGGTGCTGCCAGCAACTATTATCAGCCCCAAGGGCAGATTAGGCATTACCACCCTATTCATGGATAGAGAAACAGCTTCAGCGGTGGACCTAGGTCTCTACAACTCATAACCACTGGTTAGTCCCCCAAGAATTCACTCACGCTCAGAAGTAAGAATCCGGACGGCAGAGGTGGTGCTGGAGTCTAGGGTAAAGTTTTTCCAGTTCTGGTTTACCCGCAGTTGATTCATCAGGTTCTCATAGCGTTTCCGCATCTCCCGGAATCTAGAAGCTTCCAAACCCGAGAGTGCATCTGGAACTCTCGGGATGTCAGGGCTGCGCTTCGGTGCAGAGGGCAGGGCACCCTCCGGCGGTAGCTGCAGGAGCAGCAGCAACAGCACTCGCATAAGATGCAGCGGCGTTGGCTCCGGCAGAGGAATCGCTGTACTGGTTGCCACCTGAACTGGGACTGACCAGGCACTGCACAACTGGCCTTTATAGTCCCTGGACTTTGTCCGCCTCCGCCTTCCGGGCCCTGCCCACCCTTACATTTAGAATAAACACTCTAGCAGCCACAGCTGGGCTGGACCTCAGAGGTGATTTTTTTTTTTTTTTTTTAGTATTTGGGATGTGTGCGGACGCGTGCGCAGCTTCTATAGAAGCAAGGGCATCTCTCTGAGCCTTAGTATCCTCCTCTGTGAAACTTCGTACCAGGCAGGTGTGTTCCTAGGAGGTATCATATAGACAAGAAGACTTACTAGTCACCTAACCTAATAAAACTAGACCCATTGCCGTTGAAAAGATATGCTCTCATGGCAACCCCATGGGTCAAAGTAGAACTGCACCACAGAACTGTCCCGCAGGTTTCTCTCTGTTGTTCAGCTAAAAGATGACCTCAGGGGCTAATTTCAGTTCAAACTTTAAAGGGTATCTTAGAGTGATGTCTTGGGGAGTCTTCCCATCTTTTACGAATTTGAATTCTGTTCCACAGTTTTCTTCTTTTCTGTCAGATCCATCTTTGGTGGCTTTGCTCAGAACAGTTGGTAGTGGAAGTTGGGCACCATCTAGTTCCTCTGGTCTCCAGGTAGCTGAAGCCTTGGTTCATGTAGACTATTCATCCTGGGGACTATTTTCTTCATAGTCGTTCATTTCCTTCTTTCTCATTTGCTCTGGATGAATGGAAACCAATATTTAGTCTTAGATGATGACCACTGGCAAGTTTTTAAGACCCCAGATGCTACTCATCAAACTAGGATATAGAAAATAAACTTTATGAATTATATTATGCCAATTGACTGAGTTGTCCCACCAGACTAAGGTCCTAAATCTTCAAACCCAGAAAACCAAACTTGTGAGGTG